AAAAAAAAATACTGATGTGGAAAAAAAAACTCACAAATTGATGAGGTGGCACTTTTAATTATAATAAATAAATAAGGACTAATTATTATTAATTAATTAAAGTCGATTAACCTTCTTCTTCCTTATTCTCCTGTTCTTCTTCATCCTTCCTCTTTTTCTCTCTCTCATTCCTAGGCCTGTTCTTCTTCACTCTTCCCCTTGGTCTCTCTCTCTTGTCCCTCGGCCATCATTCCTCCGACATCTCCTCCGACATCTCCTCCGACATCTCTTCTCGTTCCATTTTCCCATTTCACCATTTTAGGTTTTTTTTTTTTTACTAAGATTAAGCGAATCTGGGTTCACCATCACCAATGTTGGATTTTTTTCTTCCTCCTTTTCTCTCTCAATCCTTCGAAAATCAAACTTTTTCCTTCCTTTCCCCACTCATCCTTCTTCTTTCTTCTTCCTATTCTTTTTCTCTCTCTTCTTCCTTCTTCTTCCTCTCCCAATCAAACCCAGATCTGGGTTTTTCCCATCCAAAGTCAACATCTCCCTACAAAGAATTGGAACCAATGTCGCATTCTTCCACTCAAACTACGTGATTGTTGTCTTGTTCCTCCTCTTCCTCAACTTGCTTTGGCACCCCGTCTCCCTGATCGTCTTCATCATCATGATGGCTCGTGGCTAAAAGAAAATGAACAAAATCAAAACCCTTAATAGTTATTTTAGCTTCCATTAAACAATTAATCCTGAATCCAGTTACTTGTCAACACCTATATCCATCTCCATAGCTCCCACCGATATACCCAGAATCTCGTACAATGATGTGCAGGATGCCATACCCTAAGGTCTCAGATAACGAGATTCCTGTTCTTCCTTGGAAGTATAACGGTTGGCAATTGCAACGGTGGCACTCGGAGGATAGAATCGAGTGTGGCGTAAGTTACAGGAGGTGGGTTCAGAGTTTTGAGAAGGGGACGAACGAGGATGAGAGAGGAGGAGAAGAGAGCATCTTAAGTAACTGTGTTATGGAGGTATGGGGTGGAAGATGGAAGTGGAGATATGGGTTTGAGAAAAACCTTGATTTGGATTTGAGAAAAACCCAGATCTGGGTTTGATTTGGAAAGGAAGAAGGGAGAAGAGAGAGAAAAAGAATAAGAAGGAAAAAGATGAATTTTTTTTTTTTTTAGTTTGAAAAATTATGAAACAATAATAAAAAATATCATATTTTCTTACTTGGAATTTACACATCATTAAAATTAAAAAAATCCAATGATTTTGTGGCATTTAATGTGCTAGCTGTCTATTTAATTGATGGAAGAATCATTTTGGTACCAAAAATAAAAGTTTAAGAATAATTTTGATACTTTTTAAAGTTGAGGGACAGTTTTGGTGCCAAAGTGAAAAGTTGAGGGACCAAAATGGTATTTAAACCAAATTTTTATGTAATATTTTTTATTTACTATTATAAAAATATGTTTTTGTTGACTCAATGTACGCTAAAAGGGGGTGAATTGGAGTTTTAAAAATTCTTCCCTTTTTGCAACCATAAAACCAAAAATAAAGAGAGTAGAGAAGAAGAGCTTGCTCAATGATTTTATAGAGATTCGGTCCAACCACTTGGAACCTAGTCCTCTATCTTGGCTTCACTTACCAAGGATTTCCTCCACACTCTCCACTAATAACAACAAGGGTGGCTTAAAGGAGCCACTCAATCCTTTTACACGAAGATGAGTATTTCTCTCAAACCTCATCCCTTTACATATAAACCCCAAGAATCCTCTCTATAAATCACTCTTGAAGCATTAATCACACCCCCAAGATCACTCACAAATAGAACAAGAAGAGGATTACAAGTAACGATCTCTCAAAGATCAAAAACTCAAGTTAAATCTCATGTAGGTAGGTAAAGATATTCAATGCAATACTCTCTAAACTTCTTCATATCTGTTACCAACCATATTTATAGGCCCTTGCTTGAAAATAGCCGTTTCTAGCCGTTGGGGGTCATTAAATGTTTTGCAGGACTCAAAGCTCGAGTTGCAGGACTCAAAGCTCGAGTTGCAGGATTGTCAGGAAAGCCAGCTTAACTTCCTAGAGCTGGCTCTATATAGCCGGCTCACAATTTCTACAGCCGGCTTTTCGGCATTCTGCACATTTTGTTTTCTCCGTAGAGCCGACTGCAAAATGCAAAGCCAGCTTTGCGGGTTTGCTGCACATTCTGTTTTCTTCCACAGCCGGCTGTAAAAAATGTAAAGCCGGCTTTGGTATTCCGACTTTAAAACATATTAATTATTCTTCAAATAAGTCGACTATTGTGCATTAAATGCACCCATACAACCGGCTGCAAAGTTGGAGCCAGCTTTACGTATTTTTTCCGCGCGCGCCAAACAATGGACTTTTAAATCTTTACCCATAGAGCCAGCTGCAGCTTTCCAGAGCCGGCTTTCTGCACATACTCAAGCCTTTCTAGTCCATTTTTAAGTGCAGTCCAAGTTTACTTATTTTGCAATCTTTTGACATTTTAATTACACACTCAAATGAACCAATTAGTCATTCAAATATGTTTTGTAATCATCAAAATCATAGGTACAACAGTTTTTATATAAATTAAATATATAACTTTGTAATTATATTTAATAGTATAAGAAAATTTAATATATAAAAAAATTAATTTTTCAAAAATTAAAAACATATTCGAAATGAAGAAATTCATGAAATGTTCTTATAATTCTTCTTTTCATATAGTAAGGATATTGTTAATGGAAAACAGTTTATCAACATATTTTACATTTATTTACAAAGATGTATGTATTTATTTGAGTCTATCTCAACCAAAAAAATTAAATATTTTTTTAGATTTGCAACATATTTTTTCAAGTTTAAACCCAACTAAGTAATTATGTGGCCCATTCAATAAAATAATAATAATAATTTGAGATCTAATTCATAATTTATGTATGTATATTGAAAAACAAGAATATTTTGTTGTCAAAATAGGTATTTTGATAAATGTATTTTTCTAAGAGATAAACATACTTTTACAACATTGTTTGGTAAATGATTTTTTTTTAATTTAAAAAAAATTCAATTAAAAAAGAAAAAAGAACAAATTGTATCAGTAACATTTCCACATTTGATTTGTATGTCGAAATTTGATTGAAACACTCAAAATTTGACCAAAACGTGTTGTACCTATGATTTTGATGATTACAAAACACATTTGAGTGACTAATTGATCTATTTAAGTGTGTAGTTAAATTTCCAATATACTGCAAAGTAAGCAAAATGAAATTCCATCAAAAAGGCTCAAAGGGCAAAAATGTGCAGAGAGTCGGCTTAAGAAAAGTGCAGCCGGCTCTGGGAAGCAAAAGTGTACAGAGTCGGCTGCATATTTTGTTGAGCCATCGCTTCCTATCTAAATCTATTACTTTCTTCGTTATTTGTAACAGTTCTTTACTTGGGCGGTTGGAACATTTCCATTCCGTACATATTTTCTCCGGAGCTCTACAGGCAAGAAATTCAACCACTGTCTTTGGCGTGCGCGGAAAATGGAAGCAGAGCCGGCTCCCACTTTGTAGCCAGCTGTGAGGGTGCATTTAATGCACAATGATCGACTCTTTTGAATGTATTTAAAATCGGAATTGCAAAGCCGGCTCAAAGTCATGCAGCCGGCTCTCGAGGAAAATAGAATGGCTTGCAAACCCATATAGCCGGCTCTGGAAGTGTAAGCCGGCTCTGCAGAGCCGGCTCTAGAAAGCTAAACCGGCTCTCCTAACAGTTCTGCAACTCGAGCCATGCGTCCTGCAGAGCATTTAATGATCCCCAACGGCTAGAAACGGCTATATTCGAGCAAGGGGCTATAAATATGATTGGTAACAGATATGAAGAAGTTAGGAGAATATAACATTGCATATCTTTACCTACCTACTTGAGCTTAAACTTGAGTTTTTGATCTTTGAGTGATCATTGCTTGTAATCCTCTTCTTGTGCTATTAGTGAGTGATCTTGGGGGTGTGTTGATTCCTTCAAGAGTGATATGTAGAGAGGATCTCTAGGGTTTATCTTGTAAATGGATGAGATTTGAGAGAAACACCCTTATTCTTTGTAAAGGATTGAGTGGCTCCTTTAAGCCACCCTTATTGTTGTTAGTGGAGAGTGTGGAGGAAATCCTTGGTGAGTGAAGCCAAGGTAGAGGACTAGGCTCCAAGTGGTTGGACCGAACCTCTATAAATCATTGAGCAAGCTCTTCTTCTCTACTCTCTTTAATTTGGGTGTTGTGGTTGCAAAAAGGGGAGAATTTTTAGAACTCCAATTCACCCCCCTCTTAGAGTACATTGAGTCAACAATTGGTATCAGAGCAAGGGCTCCAATTTGAAGGTTTAACCACCTAGGAATTGATCGGGAATGGCTCAATTTCTATCTTCTCAACCACTTGAAGGTTTGTCTACCACTAAGCCTCCTTTCTTTGATGGTACTAATTATAATTATTGGAAGAATAGGATGAAGGTCTTCATGTTTGCAAATGTGCCCAAGGCATGGGTTGTGACTATGAAAAGTCCATATGTACCCATGAAAATTGTTGGAGAAAGAGAGGTGCCAAAGGAGGAGATAGATTGGAATGATGAAGACTTGGAGAAGATCATGATCAACAACAAAGCAATCAACATGCTTCAATGTGCTCTTAATCCAACGGAATTCCATAGAGTTTTCGGGTGTGATACGACTAAGGAGATGTGGGACATGCTAGAAGTCACTCATGAAGGAACAAGCCAAGTAAAGGAGTCAAAAATCAATAGACTCATTTACATGTATGAGCTTTTCAAGATGAAACCGGAGGAGAGCATTCAAGATATGTATACAAGATTGAATGACATAGTCACCAATCTCAAGGCTCTTGGTAAAGTCTATTCTCCTCAAGAAGTGGCGAGAAAGGTTCTTAGAAGCTTGCCTAAGAGTTGGGAAGCCAAGAAGACGGCAATTGAAGAATCTAAGGATCTCAACACTCTCAAGCTTGAAGATCTCATTGGTAAATTGATGACATATGAGATAGAAGTGCAAGGTGATGGTGGAGTGGAAATAGTTGAGAAGAAGAAGAAGAATGTTGCTTTCAAGGCTAGCAACCAAAAGGAAGAGAGTGAAGATGATGCTAGTAATGATGAGTCTA